GTGGGAGGGATTGTTCTGTAAATTTGGGGGACCAAAATGAAAATTTGGAATTGGGAAACGTGGGAAATTCTTTTTTGTTTTTAACGTTATAGTGGGTGTGTTTATTATTCTTTTGGGGGAATGCCCGCCATTACTTTAATTATGTTACTTGGATTTTGTTTTTGTTTGGCGCCTTGATTTGAGCTTTAAAGCCAAACACACAATTAACATGCGCAAAGGTTGTGCGGTCAAATCGAAAATTGAGTCGTTAGTTTAGTGAGTTACCATAATAGTATTATTTTACTAGAAGGATAGATTTACCACATGTAAAATGCGTATATTTAATGATATACATTTGTAGTAAGTGTATATTATTGTCTAGAATTGATCGCTGTGTTATCTTTGTACTTGACTTATTTTGTTTGTTTTTTATTTGGTTTAAGCTGTTAGGGATGACCGTTTTACTCAATTTGTTTGATATGTTTTTGGGTGGACAATACTAGCTCTGTAAGTGATCATTTTGATCTGACCAGCTAGGGATGGCAATTTCAACCCGCCCCGCGGGTATTACCCGATCTGACTCGCGATGGGGCGGGTATTACCCGACCCGCAGTAGCGTGGGGCGGGGCATGGGTATCTACTTCCGACCCGCCCTGCCCCACCCCGTTCTAGACTCATTTTATCTCAATTTCTATACATATTTCTCCTATTTTGATTTTTCTTCAACTAGTTAGAGTCGCTCTTTCAACTTGTTATACTTGATTACCTATTTTATTATCACTGTTTTTCATTCTTAAAGTGTTTTACCCTTCGTTTTATCGTAAAAAGTAAAATTTACTTGTATTTTTTTCGAATAACATGTAAGAGTGGGTCGACCGCCCCGCACTGTACCCGCGCGGGTTTTACCCGCCCCGCCCCGTAGTAGCGTGGGGCGGGGCATGGGAATTGAGGTACCCGCCCCGCCCCATTGCCATCACTATGACCAGCTCCATTCACATCCCATTTTTGTCTAAATTAAATGTAATTATACTCGAATTACATATAATTAACTATACTTACCCTGTTATAGTTTTTATCATGAATTTTACTAATTTTCTGAATAATTTAACTATATTTAGCATGTTATATTTTTTTGCTTTATTTTCTCTACATTAACATATAAGTCTACCTGCCTTGCCTAGCCCATGATAAATTTTTGATATGGATCCAACCTGTCAGGAGTCATGTATGGGTATGGAGATACTCTCTCCGGCCTGCCTTATTTTGAGTTTGAAGTCACAATACTCCATTGAGTTTATTTTAGAGTACCCACGCGTATTTCTGACCAATATTCTAACATTTGCAAAATTCAATGAGGGTCTTTTGAACACGTTACACTTGTAGGGATGGTAATGAGTCGATTCGGGAACGGATACGTAACTACCCATTACACTATTCTAACTAGTTTCAGATTTATTCATACTAATATCATGCAAGATTCATATGCTAAATCTAAATCATGTATATAACCGATTGAGTTTCAGGTATCCTTGAATATTCACGGATGATAATTTTCGTTTACCTTCTCAACTATTGTGTTACTAATCACAAGTATATTAATATTACAGAAGTGAAAATTTATACGATAAAACCTCTATAAGTTAATTTAGTCAGGACACTGAAGAATATTAATGTATAGTAGTCATAATTTATCAACAAAAAATACAAAATTAATAATTTGTGAATCTAAAGAGATTTTTAATACTGTATATGGTTAACGTAAATGACGTGATTGCCTAAAATCATATTCATACATGTTGTATTAATTTTATTTTTAGTATAAATGTAAGTTTTTATATTTTGAGAAACTTAACTTTCAAGCTTCATTGTATTGCTTAATAGTCTAAATTCATACATAATTACTTTCAAGCTTCATCGTGCCTTCCAAATGCTTCAAGTTCATATGATCACTTTTTGAATTCTATGTATTCATTTTACTAAAATTTAATATATTAAAACTATGTATCATGCATGCTTTATTTTACGTGTCGAAGATAAATATTCTACGTATTTTATGGATGGTCTAAATTCAACATGTTTGAAACATGTCATGCCAAAGAAAGTGCTTAAAACCGCATTAACTCCTCAAAACTACTGGTTGGAATTAGGGAAGACAACCCCGAAGATTTTGAGCTCAATGAGGAAAGTTTAAGATGAACGTCTAATCTTCTACTTCTCTTTTACTTCAAGAAGAAACAAGTAACTATAGTCTATAGATTCATATTGTAAATTTATTGATGAATTGTATTTTTGAAAATTTATATTTATTAATATAAAGAATTGAAATACATGCATTTATATTGGTTGGTTCTAAAATATTATTATCTTAGTATTTTATTAAATTTGTTTATTTTTTTTACATTGGCACCTGTCGATACCAAAGATTATTAATTTTAGAACTTTGCTACGATGATTTATAAGTAGGGGTGGGCAACGGGCGGGTTGGGTGGGTTTTGGTCTCAAATTGACCCACCCGCTTACTAGCGGGTTGGAATAATTGTGACCCGCAATCCACCTATATACTTTTGCGTGTTGGGTTGGGTGGGTGGCGCATGGATGCGGATGGGTTGCGGGTCAACCCGCAAAGCAATTCTCCAACTAACTATTAAGAAAGTTGACTACATTTATAATAAGTTCATAACAAATTAGTAATATTGTATCAATACTTTGTGATTTGATACAATAATAACTTATAGTTTGCATCCCAATATTTAATGGTTATTAACAATAATTTCTATATCAATATCTAATGAATATTGCACAACATAATTGCCAATAATAATAGTCAAAACTATTATTTACTCTTCACCTTTTGAAATATATACAGTTCGAAATATGATGAATATTCGATACTATAAGAAATAACATTTTTCATGTAAAAAAAGGATGCGAGCCATATGGGTGACCCGCAATCCATCCACCACCCACCCACATAAGTGCGGATGAGAGATTTACCAATCCGCAATCCACCCACATCATTCTCTCATAGATTTGGAAAATGTTCTCCATATTTATTTTTTAGGTTGACATACTCTATAAAGACTTTCATCTTTCCAACAAAGTCTGAATTTGTTTATTTTTATCTTAAAGTTGTCTTGTGGTAGATCAACTTTGTTGCTATTGTTGTTATGAAGATACTTAAAAAGTGGGTAAACTACAAGTTTGGTCACTGAAATTACTAAAAATTTCACGTTTGCCACTGGAATTATTTTATTCTATTCGTGGTCACTAAGATTAGTTCAACAGTTCAAGTTTTGTCACTCTCCATTAGTCTCCGTTAGATTTTGCTGATGTGGCAGTCAACTCTCTAATTGACCGTTAAATAAATGATGTGCCAATAAAAAAATCATATAAAAATCATATTTAAACTTTTTACTCATTTTAATAATTATTAAAAAATAAAGATAACAATGAATTTTCTAATCCCCTACCTCCACCTACTCATCGGTTGAAGCCCACCTCCACCGGTTCCCAGCAAGCTCCAGAAATTACAAGGTCACTCGTTCGTGAGGGATCCACTTGCACTTGCGGTGGTAAGGACGACGCTTGATCCTATGGCCGGCGCCACACGGTATCGTCATCAAGCTCCAAAAGAGTCGCCGTCATTGATGAATTCCCTGGAACTCCCGTCGCCGGTGAAGCTGCCATTACCTCCGGCCACCCCTCCGACTAGAATCCCAATTGGGTTTGGAAACTAGTTTCATGTCGAAAGCCGATATCGATTTCTCCACGAAAGACGCTAACCCATTTAGCGCAGGCCGTCCACCGCAGCTGCCTCTCTTGCTCGACGTCGAAACGGTACGACGCCAACTGTGACGTATCGAAGCGATGACACACCGTGTGGGAGTATTTCGTCCGCCGTAGCCAGGCGGAACTCGTTTCCTCCATTGTCGGTTCTTCTTCTGTCTTCTCTCCTTCTGTTATAAACACGCTGCTACGGATCAGGAAATTGCTGGAATTGATAAAGCAAGAATACGAAAGCGAGAATCGAAAAACACAGACACACGATTTACGTGGTTCACTAACACGATGTGTGTTAGCTACGTCCACAGGCGAGAGAGAGCCAGTTTCACTATATCGAGGAGATTACAGATTATGAAGGAGTATGAGAAGTATTTATAGTACTTCTCCATGTGGGTCTAAACCTAATGCAATCTGGCAAAGGAAACGGTTACAGACCAGACCCAGAACCCGAACCCAAATAACATTGAGCCCATACACCGTGGGCCCACTCGCTGACCGGGCAGCGAGACCCCCGATTACCAGTCGTAGCGGCCGATAGTCCGATTCAAGTCACATCAACACCTTCTTTCTTCTTCTTTTTCTATTCTCAAACGTCGCCGATTCGTTACACCTCGATCAGTCGTCTGCACGACGGCTGAAGGAGGAGGAGGACTGCCCTCTCCAAGAATGAAGCTTGTACAGATCGTAATAGCACCTTTTACGAGTGTAACTCGAATCCGATCGCTTCCCCAAGTTCATGAACAACCATTAAAGAGTATGCTTGCGGCCTGTACTTTCTCCCCTAGGCTGGGTCAATCTTGGCAAGAACAACAATGGCTATGACAGACGAAATACTCCCACACGGTGCATTAAAGCCATCAACATGACAACATCCTTGCGCTTGATGGAAATGGTGGTCGTTGTATATACTGAATCCATAATCGGCGCTGGAATCGGTTAGCCCTTGCTTGCTAACAATGCCACCCCATTTGAAATGGTACAGAAATCCATTCCCAGAGCACTTCTACTATGCTATATAGTATTGGTGATTTAATGTACAACTTGAAGTTGTATCGTAACATTAAATGTATAAGTTTAGGTTGTACCATAAAGGAATTTGTATCATTATGTTATGATACAACTTTATAACTTGATGTTGTACCATCACATAAAAGTACAAGTTCAAGTTGTACCATAAAAGAATTTGTACAAAAAGTATAGGTACAATATAAAGTTGTACCATAACATTAAAGGTACAACTTCAAGTTGTACCATAAAGGCAAAAACCTATAGCACCAATACTATATAGCATTGTAAAATTCCTCTTCCCGTTGAATGTCCCTTCCGAGAAATTTTACAATGCTATATAGTATTGGTGCTATAGGATTTTGCCTTTATGGTACAACTTAAAATTGTACATTTACGTTATGGTACAACTTCAGATTGTACCTATACTTTTTGTATAAATTCTTTTATGGTACAACTTGAACTTGTACTTTTATGAAGTTGTAAAGTTGTACCATAGCATAATGGTACAACCTAAACTTATACATTTAATGTTATGGTACAACTTTAAGTTGTACATTAAAGCACCAATACTATATAGCATAGTAGAAGTGCTCTGTCCCTTCCAGCCATGGCTCGATCGTCTCCTTCAAGAAACTCCTTATTGTTGGAATCACATAAGGGAAACGAACTTCCTCGGCGAATAATGTCAATCTTGCTCCCCTGGCGACCAACTTGCCGTAGAAGTAAGACGAAGTCGTGGCTATGGTCGATGCATTAAAGCTAGGGGTGGCTATACGGTCCGGTCCGGTTAAATTGGCCCAAATTGATCCGGTCCAGTCTGGTCTTTTTGAAAATATAAGGACCAAAGATTGATTGGATACAGTCCGGTCTTGATCCGGTCCGATCTTGACCCGGTCCGGTCCCAATTCGGTCTTGATTTTATATTGAGCTTGTGGGGATTTGAGTGGCCTAAGGCCTGAAAGGGTGAGAAGTTGGTTAAGTTTTGTATTAAGTGCAAAGGTTTGTGACCGTTTATGCAAATTACCCTTAAGTTTTGGGTGTTGAGCTCTCTTATTCGGTCTTTATCCAGTTTTCGATCCGGTCCCGAACGATTTTTTACCTCAAATCTAAGTCAAATATTGGATTGGATTGTTTACTATCCGGTCCGATCTCGATCTAAGCCAAATCTAAGCAAATTACCCTTAAGTTTTGGGTGTTGAGCTCTCTTATTCGGTCTTTATCCAGTTTTCGACCCGGTCCCGAACGATTTTTTATCTCAAATCTAAACCAAATATTGGATTGGATTGTTTACTATCCGGTCTGGTATCGATCCGGGTTATACTGTCCCGGTTTCGGGTAAAATCAAAAAACCTGGACCAAATAGCCAGCCCTAATTAAAGCAATCAACATCCTTGCAAAGCGCATCCATGATTTCATTGTAGCAATCATCTTTGATTACCTTAACGATGCCACGTCGCTAAAACAAAATCCAATTTCTGTCCCCTTTTGTGGGTCTGTTGTTGAATCTCTCTTTATGAGATGGTTCTTTTCCTTCTCCAGCTCTGGTCTGATCTTCTGATCTAGGGTTCTTGGAGCTCTTTTTGTCCAGTTGCAAAGGGGGTTGTCGATTTCTTCTTCAACTCATCTTCTTTCCTTGAATCTTTCATCTACCTCCTTGTTTCATCCAACAGATCGCGATGATCCGGAGATGTTGTGGCCTTTCTTCGTGTTTCGGCTCGGATGCGGTTTATGGATTTGAAGATGGGAATGCCTCACTCAGAGATCGTTGCATGCTTTTCCTCTGGTTTCTGCCTTGCTCTTGGTGGTCGTCTCCGCTTGTTGGGTGCGTCTTCGCCTTCATCCATGGGTCGAAGTTCCTCTGTGGCATCATGTTCCTCCTTGTCTGGTCGGCGGCTTCTGGGTTCATGGCAGATTGGTTTGTTGAGCGGCGGCAGCGATCTCTTTGTGGTGGTTCATTGTAGATAGGGTTTAGGAGTGGGTATTTCGTTGTGGGCCTCCATGTTTGGGCTTTGAGATTGTTATTTTTGTTGACGTGGTGGGCTTACAGGATTGAGCCCGTTTCTTTTCTTTATTTATTATGATTGTCTCTCCATGGGCTTGTACCTAAACTTTGTAACTGTTTTTCAGTTTAATGAAACTGAGTTTGTCAAAAAAAAAAATCGCTGGCAACAACTACGAGCTCGTCGTCCATGCTCTAGTACTTCAAGCCTTCCATGAAGTGACGTTTCAGTCATCGCCGGATAAAAGCTTGAGATACAGGGGATGGGCGAGCATAAGCAGATTGACCCACCCTTTCTTCTCCCATTTATACTCGATGGAGAAGGGCTTGGAGAGAACCGCCTCCCTCGTAACCGGGTAGCAGAAGTTGAACCGATCGAGGACGGATTTGGAATCCGGGTAACGCCATCCTCAGAATGCCGGAGAAGCCGGTTACAGAGGTGATGGAAGAAGTGGTATGGGTCAAGTTGACCGGAAATTATATTAAATTTTTATTTATTAATAGCGTAAAAATGAGTTGGAAATTAGAAAAGTTTAAATTTAAATTTTTTATTAATCTTTTAATTGCCATGTCACTTATTTAACGGTCAAATATGAGAGTTGACTGCCACATCAGCAAAATTTAACAGAGACTAACAGAGAGTGACCAAACTTGAACTGTTGAACTAATTTTAGTGACTACATATGGAATAAAATACAAACGTAAAATTTTATTGTTCTCTCATAGATTTGAAAAATGTTGTCCATATTTATTTTTTAGGTTGACATACTCTATAGAGACTTTCATCTTTCCATCAAAGTCTAAATTTGCTTATCTTTATCTTAAAGTTGTCTTGTGGTAGATCAACGTTGTTGCTATTGTTGTTATGAAGATACTTAAAAAATAGAGTACAATTTTTCTACAATAGTGTCATCTACAACGTCTGTAAATCTCATATCATCTTGTTCTTATGGATTTTTTATATTCAAAGAGTGTTAATAGAAGGTGTTGTTTCTTTTTGTCTTAGTTTAAAACCTGTGTAGGGATTTGGTTTTCCACGCATGATAGAATGCTGCAAATAGGAGGTCAACATACGTCGGTCGACTAGCTCAGTCATCAAGTCGACCGCGATGTACCAAGTGTGTTCAAGTTCAAGAGACGAAGTCAATCGTCTCCATCATCAGGTTGTTCAGAGAGAGTCAGTCGTCTCCAATCAACCTCGTCCGAGATGTTATTCATCTCGAGTTTTGTGGTTCAAGCCATCATGCTTGTTCTTCACATTTACTTCTTCAAGCTCGACATTCTTGTCATTCATGTGTTCGCTTGAGGGGGAGTGTTGCGGTTACTTAAACCGTGTTAGTATTGGGCCTTGTCTGATTCGTTGGATTAGGGTTTTAACCCTAAGTTTATCTATATAAGTTTAGCTATCGACTTGTGTGATAGTAAGCCGTCAAGATGTAATTCTAATAAGAGATCAGCCGTGAGCTCTTATGAGCTCACCGTGGATTAGTCTCGATCAATCAATTGATCGAGGATACCACGTAAAATCTCGTGTCCCGTGTGTTATTTCATCTTCCGCATCATCAAATTCTTCACTGCAAGTCACCATAAGCATACGCTTAATTTTATATGAGATTATTGACTTATCAAATATTAATTTACAGAGGTGTACTTTAAATAAAAAAATCCAATACTAAAATAAACAATACAAAATGAATCATAGTTTACGAGATGCTACAAGATAAGATACTGAACATACATGCATAATCAAACGGTTTTAATTAAATTATGAGAAAATCATAAACACAAATTATCTTAATATTCAAATTCGAATTTCACTCATACTAATGAACTTTTATCTTACTCAATCCAGTGGAATTCGAGCCGAGTAATCGTAATTCGTAACTATAGATATTTTGCCATCCCTATGTGCTAGTCGAATTCGGGCGACTAACATACCCAACAAAAATATCGTTGGGAGTTGCAGAATAATATTATGAGATCCGGGGAGTGCAGATTTCCAGTTTTTTGTCTGGAAGCGAACGTGGACGTGGTAATGGGTTCAGGCCCGTGTGTGGGTCAGAACATTACACAGCGCCCCAGCCCACGTGACTAAGCCCCCACTCTCCTCACCTTCACGTGCCTTGCCACCCTTTCTTTCATTACTTTTATTTTTCTTCCCGCGTTCAATGAACCAAACAACCCCAGCAATCAATCGAATCCTCGTCTGGATAGGCATTGCTATAGCAGCAGCCTATGACTTGATCATATCTAGTGCGGTTTGATCTGATTTAAATATCGATTTGATTTGGTTCGGAACAAATCGTTGTATATAACCGGTTTCATCCACACTCTACTTTATTGTCTGCTATTCGCAGGATGATGTCGAGGAATTGGATGGTTCGCCTAGTTCATATATATCGCGAAGGGAATAGAGTCGCGTACTGGCTCTCGAAGCACAGTCTCGTCTATCCTTATGGTATGTACGACTTAATCGAGCCTCCAACGAGGTTAGATCGGATCCTTTGGGAAGATATGATAGGTATTGGCTTCCCGAGGATGGTAGCCTCTGGATAGCTAGTTTCTTTTTTTTTTTTTTTCTGATTCATTTTGCCAGTTCTGCCCAGGGTTTGCATGTGTGCAAAGCTACCTGTGGCTGAATTTGTTTTGCTGTATCTGAGTTCCCCTGGCTTGTAGCCTCCCTCTAATAAAAAAAATATATATATAACCGTTACCAACGACAGCAAACTTGAATTCCCAAGAATGAAATCGACATTTTCTGATTGAGAGAGAAAAAGAGAGAGAGAGAGAGAGAGAGAGCAAAAGGTTCGCAGATACACATTCCATATTGCTCCCCCTAACTTCCTATTATTTGTTCATGGACTAGAAAGGTTCATTTCCGGATTTCCCTAATGGCAAAATCACAAATCTGACTTTAGAAAAAGATGCAGTTTACAAAATCAAATGGCAGGCTGCAGCAGACGATCGAAAACCGATAGCCCAACAGCAGATGATTTTGCAGACGACGACGCGTTAAAGAGGTTTTCGAATCTCCGGAATCTTTGTTGGCACGAGAACAGACTTTCAGCAGAGTTGCACCTCACTTTGTGTAGAGAACATCCTCCCATGGGTGGCGGTATAGGGGCTGTTTGAGTCTCTTCTGATCGAATGTGTGCCTGAGAAAAAGAAATTTGAAAAAAAAAACACAAAAGGTAGTTCTCTTCTCTGTCAGTCGGGTGAAAGAAAGAGACGTCCACTAGCATTGGACTTTTTCTTCCTTGTCACGTAATGAGTCGTATGCATTATTTGATCACTGGACCCATCTCAATGTATTCTCGGACTATATAGCTTACCGTGCAAGCATCAAATGGTGGTGGGTCGCATACGGTAGGGGCCATGCCTCTCTATCACAGATAGGGTTTGGTATGGGCATGGCACACTATTGTCTAGGGCAAAAATCTAAAAATGGAGGCAAATTTGATTTTTTGGTCACTTCGGGTTGCAAACGGGTTGGGTCCAAGATTGGTGAATCAGGTTACGGAGCAATCGAGTCACGTTGTATGTGTGATGGAAGGAAGGAAGCAGAGGTGGAATATAGGAAATGAAGACATGGGGACAGGAATGCAAAAATAAAAAAAACTCACCCGATGAGGCCAATGGAACGAGCCAAGACGAAGAGGCCGTTCAAGTATCCAATCTCGACGATCTCGTCGATCTCTGGCTTGGTGAACATTCCACTGCCGGCTAGGAGATCGAGGAAGAGGGATCCGATCGCGCCATCGACGTTCATGACAAGGTTGTTGGCCTTTGTGAGAGTGTAGGTCTCGACCTGGACTGCATACTCCATGTACTTCACGGATGGGAAATTCGTGCGCGCGAATTCCTGCAACAGCTCCACTCTCTTATCCCTGTTGTCGCCTCTCTTTATCCTAAATTTATCAAAGGGGAAGCGAAAAACATGGTTAATTAGATATGCCAATTTATAGCTCAAATCACTCAATCAATCAATTGACCTATAATCTGCAATTACCCGACCAATGGAATGGTCTAGTTCAAGCATGAAGAGTTTCAATCTGAACAGTTTCCATACCTATGGCCGATTCCAGGAACGCGAATGCCCTTCTTTTTCATGCTTTCAACGAACTCATAGGGAGTGAGTCCCTGGAGTAGGAAAGGAATTGCAAAGAAATGATATCCAGTGGTCCATAAACCGCACATAGGCACTCTGACAAGAAATGAACATGAACTATCAATAAAATTAGCCTTACTCTGTCATAAGCATCCTTGAAGTATCGAGCAGCATCATCAATGGCGCCTCCAAATCGGGGACCAATTGTCAGCAAACCTGGTTCACAAAACATCAACTTAGTAGAGAGATCGAGATATGAAAGAGTTTTTCACCCTCATTTGTTGGGTAATGTTACCGACATTTTGACAATTTGTGGATTCAATATAAAATATTTAGACATAAACCTGTGTTTGTTTTTTTATTACTTCTCCAACTTAATTTCAACTTCCAGCCAATACTAATATTGTCTAATAATCAATAACCAGTTTACCTGAGACAAGGCTGGAAACAAGGTCCTTTCCAGCCCTTGCTGTTACAATGGTATTGTGAGCTCCTGAGACACAGGGACCGTGGTCGGCACACAACATGATACATATCTGGTAAAATCCAGAGTATTAAATACGTGCAAAATAGTTCTTATTCCATATCTGTTAACAAATGATGAAAAGAGATCGGATAATGATTACTCTTGAGTTATTGAAAATTACCTCAATAAATTTGGTACAGTAGCGTGGGAGACTGCGTTTGAACCATAAAAGAGAGATGATATCACCAACACCAAAACCCTGCTCGAGAATGGAAGACATCGGCACACCAGCATAGCATGGTTCCTCGCCTATAGATCGATAGAAACACGAGATTATGATCAATCAGAAATTAACATCCAATAAACTTCTCGCAGAAGTCTAGAATAAAAAGGCAAGTACCTCTGTCGTCAGAAATGGTTGAAATAATATGAGTTGGGGCGCGAACTTTGCCACTCTTGATTGCAGTGTTGAGATCCTCGGGGATTGGTGGGGGCGTGAACTCCTTAACCGATTCAATCTTCCCTTCTTCGACCTGGGACGAAAGAAAATCGTCAATGTGGATGAAAGCAGTCATGGCAATCAGAACTTGGCATGATGCACCTCTACTTTAGGGTTTTATTTGTTTAGTCCAAAACTGAAGTTCCCTAAATTTAAGTTTGCAAAGGGCATAATGCACCTTTCTCCATCTGAATATTTAGAACAACCATTCATAATGCACTCCACCAATTATTAAAAGTGAAAAGGCCGCCTCTTCAATAAAAAATAGATTTCCAACTTTTCATCTTTAAAATAAGAATACTTTTTAATGATACACATAATAGTCATTTCCCCACCATCGAATCTCTCATTATCAAACAAATTATCTATTATCCAGCAAGTCCTTTGTAATAACTAAAAAATATTTTAGATTCTACAAAATATATATATATATATATTAGATCTCGTCAACTCTTTCCAAAGAATTTAGAAAGAGCTGAATAGGTACTCTAAGCATATAGTACTAACCAGTTTGTCAAATGCCTCTTTAATTGAAGCTTCAAAAGCTTCAAATGAGGTAGGCACAACAGCTCCAGCATCTTTAAGAGCTTGATTCTTAGCTTGCGCAGACTCTAATTCACCACCACTTTTAGCACCCTGATTGAAACAATTTACCAAGATCAATCAAGTCTGAATCTTTGCTGTAGCAGTGGTTGATGCCACTTGTTAGAAATAAATGGGGAAGATATTCTAGAGCAATACAACTTACAGCATGGCCAAATTGCACTTCTGACTTGAAAAGCCGAGCGCAAGTTCCACTGACCCAAGCAACAACTGGTTTATTAACTTTGCCCTGTTTGATAGCTTCCACAAGAGAGTACTCATCTCGTCCACCAAGTTCTCCAAGTACCACTATCATCTTAACCTAAAGTTGTTTGGGAAGGCAGATAAAAATGGGTTACAATTGTAATTTTTTACCCAACAAAGATACGTTGGTGTCCTTTCTTTTTCTCAGATTTACTGAGATGACTAAATAAAGTGTGCGATATTGGCATACCTGAGGGATGTTGTTAAACCGCAACACATGATCAGAAAGAGTGGATCCAGGGAACACGTCTCCTCCAATTGCAATACCTACACAATTTTTCAAACAGGAGAACCTAATCACACCTGCAGCTATTATTTGAAAACACAAAAATCAGTCTATCATAACATAACGAGAGTACCTTCATAAATTCCATCCGTTACACGAGCAATAGTATTGTAAAGCTCATTTGACATGCCACCCTGCAATTGTCACATCCACCAGCCTAAGATCTCGAGACAGAGCAATGCCATGCTAGCTTTAAGAAGACAGGAACTAGTACATACCGATTTTGACACAAATCCAACAGACCCGGGTCTGTATAGCTTGCAAGCAATAATGTTGTCAATTGTTCCAGCAGTGTCACCAATCCTGAATGCTCCAGCTTGGATTCCCCCAACAGTAGCAGGACCAATGACAACCTACGCAATCATTGGGAGAGCATACTTTGGTAAAATCATATTGCAGAACAAAATAAGGTGCACTGAAGGGTTGCCCCATTGATTTTAGTTCAATTTGAATCAAATCCAACCGAAATTCTACCTTATTGTTGGACCGTG